AATGAAACTGATATGACACAACTCCTTTAAAAGGAACAACAGTAAAATGCTATTAAAATGAAAGATGCCTCATTTTATAATTTCCTATCCTCATATTTCTCAGTAATATCACTGATCATTTTCATCCCTACACTGACTACTTTTACCAGCCCCAGGGAGTATTGCAAGGAAAACAGTGCCAGCTATATCAAGAATCTGTGAAAACATTGAGGGTGTCTTCTTTTTACATGTTTCAATCTCCTCTCTTAGTCGATTCATGTCTTTATTTATTGCCTCAGATTTCTCTCTAAATCCCTCAGTAAGCAGTTCTTCTTGGACCTGTAAAAGAAAAACAGTCCACTTTCGAGAATCCCTGGTTATTAACTGCCAGAGTTCTGGATTTAACAGGTTCAGCAGTTAAACACGTGTGTCTATTTCTCTACCACCTTAGAATATTCTTTGATATTTCCAGAACTTTGACCTAAATAGGGGGAGTACTCAGGGCTTACACACTTGTGAGATTTCCTCACTCTCACTGGAGGTGGAGAGGGATTTTATTCTAGCACAAAGGATGCTGTGTGGGGGAAAATGAGGTTGAATTCTGATTGATTCTCAGATCCACCAAGGTGGCATGGCTGTGATCCTCTAACCTGTCAGGGATTGTGCATTTTAAGTGGAAGAAATTTTAAATTTGTGACTAGATAACAGCTTTCACTGTTGGAAAATGCTCACTCCAAGCCCTCCCCAGTACCACTGAAAAGAGAAATAAATTGTTTTGGAATGACAGATCTTTCTTTTCATTTCTTGAGAGCCAAAGATCTCACAAAATCAAAATTGACACATTGGTATAGAGGTGGACAGAGAGGTTTTGTTCATAGCTACTATATCACAGGAGAAAGCAGGATCCACACAAGACCTCAGCACCCAAATGTCTGTCTATGGTGCTTACCAAGGACTAACACCAGAGCAGAATCAAGGATTTTCATCCAGTGCAGCTGCATCCCTAAGCCTCTGGGATCCAGACAACTGCCTACCTCCTGTCATCATCCCTGCAACTGCAAGTGTCTCTCTGGTCTGCCAACTGGACCTCGTGATCTGCTGTCTTTTTTTCCTGTTTTCAGTAGGATTTGAGGGAAAGAGAACCATCACTGGTAACCCAACATGAACCTGCTCTGATTAGGGAGTGAAGGTGACTCCTCCAGGCCAGTCTATATTTGCCTTTTTCTAACTCTATTTTCAGTGTTCCATTTCTTCAAAAGACTTATCTGCTGTCAGCTACCCATTCTATTCCTCTAGCCTAAGCCGTCATCATCACATTAGTGACATTTGTAGAGAAAGCTATAATTTCTAGGGCAGCCACCTGTTTGGGGAGAGCATGGAAATATTAAGGAATGAGACTTCTCTTCTTCCAAAGGTAATGAGCTGCTCTCAGTTCAGTCCTTGTGCCCCTTCACCAGGTAATTAGTGTGATATAAACAATCTTGAATGTCATTAGAATGAGAATGTTGTTATTGGGGTATTCTGTTTAAATATTAGGTGTTCTCAATGATCCCATTATCCTCTCAACTCCATTCTAGTTGGTAGATATTTTGATGGTAAACAAGCATAGTTAGTCCTTCATGCCCTGACCCTAGTAGTCCAGTATTTTAGTGTTCATCGTAAATAAGGCCAGAGAAACAAGAGTGAGTATCTTGGCTTTTAAGATGTTATTATGCATCTGAAATAAGCAAGGCTTCACCCAGATTAATCCGTTAATAGAATTCCTGATGAGCCACAACAGGTAATGGTTAGTTATCAGCTGCATTCACATATCATTAACCCATTGCTGAGCAGGTCAAATTCTTCATTTAATAGATTTGAATATTCAGCTTTCTCCTTGATCTCATGAAATAACTGTACTTCCCCATTGTAATAATGAAATTGACCATGTGACTTAGTTTGCCAATGGATTCTTTTGCAAGGGAGGAAGTTTCTAAGACATTTCATATTCATATCAGCCATTATGTACCATTTGCACCTTGGAGGAGGGATGCAAACTCACTTTAAGATTGTTCTTTTAAATTGAAGACAAATGGAAAGGACCCAAGCTTAGACTTGAACCTAGCCCAGAACCTGGAGCTTACCTTCTGTAGTCAATTGAGTTACATGAGTAGGAAATAGGTAAATTCTTATAATCCATTCACTTATATTTTGTAATATCATAAAATATTATTGCAGTAAAACTTGGCTAAGAAAATTTCCTTCCTCTCTTCCAAAAAAATTGCAGCTTCCCCCAATAATTCAGTCTGTGTTGATTCTCACACCTGCTTTTCTTTGGCTTGGCAATTTCTGGTATATTGTAGGAAATGTTCTTAGAAGGCAAACCAAAGGAGGGTGGAGCAATTCCTTGAGTACCATTAGGTATGGTTGTGTCTGTTGACCAGGGAGAAATCCCAACCAGATGGCAATCAAAAGGATAAATAGAAAATTTCTGAATGCTGACAATGGGGAGTGTACTGGCAAATGAAACCTAGTTGTTGTATCTCTAATAACGCTTTCCCATGCTAAGAACCTTGATTTGATGACCACACATTGTATACATGTATCTAGCTAGAGACCTCACTGTACACCATAAATATGTACAATTAAAATAATAATTAATAAAATCAATTATAGACATCAAAACAAAATAAATTATATGTATCAAAAATTAATTTCTAATTAACCATCTTTTGGAGCATGTTTGCGCATGGAAATCATGTGATTTCTATTACTTCTCTACCTTTATGTCTTTTCTTTTTGGAAATATAGTGGTGAATATGACCCAATATCCACCTTCTACATATTTCAGTCTGTAGTACAAGTAGATTTAGCTACTTTTGTGAAGAATAAAAATTCCACGAAATTACTGTATGAAGATAGTTTTTTTGTTTGTTTGCATCTTTTTCTTTTTAACTTTTATGTGTAAGTTCAAAGGTAAGAGCCAGATGGTATTGGGTCTCTGCTTGATAAAATCAGTGGAGGCATACGGCTCTTCTTGAAATGTTGCTCACACTAGACTTTCAGTCACTGACTCAGTGAACCTGAGTGGGATACCAAAATCAAAAGTCATATTAATCCTTGTTTTTCAAGATTCAAGAGCAGACAGGCCAGCATCAGTGAGTTGCAGAAGGTGCATAAGTGAAGGGAGATGGCAAAGACACATTTGCCAGTACTCAGGCTTCAGCAATTCCATGCAGATTTTCTTCCCTAGATCCTCCCAAATCAGATATATGGACATTTCTTTATGTAACTTTTACCATTCGCTTAAATGTCCTTGGCATGTAAGATAAGTAGAGACTGTAATATTTCAAGTGCTTATTACTTAGAATTATTGGCTGGGTGGCATAATTGTTAGAAAATATGTTTCTATAATTTTCACCTTTTTACTTCTCATTTTGTTCAGTAATGATTTGATAAGTAATATTTTTTGAAAAACATTAGAGAATAAAAGTGAGCAAAGAAGATGAATAGTTCCTCAATTTAAAATTTTACATGTCTGTTAATTGGGAGAATTTTCCACAGAATACCTTCACACATTCAGTATTTTTTTCCTCCCTCCATTCACCCATGCTTATGTCTGTCCCCATATGGTTGGATATACTTATAACTGATATGACTTCATGCCTTCCTAGAGAAGAGGTTGTGAACAAGGAAGATTGGATAATTAGACAATTATCTTGGAGGTTACTTGTAATCTGAGGGCAAACAGAGCTGATTGAGTAGATGGGAAGAGGAGAGTTGAAATTATTTCAGGTAGAATATCAAATTCTAGTTGCAAATGTGGCTTTAGACATTAAATGTCTCAGATGTTCATGTCTCTGTCCCTCTGACATCATTAAAAGAGCATCCTTTATGTATTTCACATCAGTAAAATACTCACAGACACTACCTGTGAGTATAGCCCTAGAGTCTGGGTCATTCCTCATTTCATGAGTAACAGATTCAGTGAGAATAACTGGAAAGAACATCTTCTCTGTTGGTTCCAAGATCCTACTCATGAAGTTTAAAAAGAAATACTTTGGCCTCCCCCTGTAGTCTGTGATATCTGATTTGTGATAGTGAAACACTTCAGTAGATTGTTTGTTAACCTTTACTGCAAAAAGTACTCCTCATATATGCTTTTCAAATTTGCTGGAGATGCTCAGGTGCAGAATAAGAAGTTTTTAAATGTTGACTTTAGTAATAGATAAATAAGAGTCTGTTGATAAAAGCTATGCAATTATATTTTTTTCTACTTATTATTATTCCTCAAAAGCCTTTAGAACCAGCATTAGTGCACAAAAGGAGAGAGAGAGAGAGAGAGAGAGAGAGAGAGAGAGAGAGAGAGAGAGATGATATCGATACCAGGAAGTGTCCAAGTCTGTGAATTCCCTGATCATAGGTTCACCCAAGAGCTCTCTGAAGGGCTATGGCCCAGAATAGCCTGGATTCTGGTTATTAAATGGGATACAATAAAAATTTACAAGGCATGTAAAGAAGCAGGAAAATATAGGAATATGGACATAAATGAGTTAATCATAATCAAAGCAGCACTTACAGAGATCTTAGAATGACTAGCAAAGAACATTAGAGGAGTCATGATAACTACATTCTGGGTATTCAATGAGTTAAGGAGAGTTAAGGAAAGATATAAATAAGATCTGTATACTAAGACATTATTAATGTAAAAGCAAGAAAGAGTAATGATATCAAAAGAGTGAGTTTAATTTATTGGTTAGAGCAAGACTCAGTAGCTGTAGTATATCAGCATGTCATTTAGCTGTCTTTAAACTTGTTTTCTAGAAATGGGAAATAATAAGACAGAGTAAGTCATGAGTATCATATTTCTTGGTTAGAAGGAGAGATATGGGGGTAGGAAGAAAACAAGGAGAGAAAAACATGGTAGAAGAAAAACCACACAATGTGCAAGAGTTCAAACTAGCAGAAAAAGGTCAAGACAGTTAAACAGGAAGTAGTCTCAATTAAGATTTATATTTCCTGACATACATTTTCAGGTTCTCTCTCCACCACCACCACCCCACTTATTGCTTTTCGATTTGAATAAGGAGGAAAATGAAGGGAAAGGGGAGTTGTAGGAGAACAAGGATAGGAGATGGAGGGACAGAGGAGCTCCTGCCTATGGCTAGCATGTGACCAATGAAGGTGGGGCTCCAGGAAGAGAGGAATTATCAGAAGGCAGGATCTAAGTCACTTGCAGGCACACACAGGTAAGCAAAAATGTTGCTGCTGTTACTAATGTGCTGCTACAGAGCCTTGAAAAGGGGAAAGTTAGTATGTGTTAATGAAAATAATAATAATTTAAAAAGCAAAAAGGAAAAAAAAACAGGGAGTCCAGGAGTGACGTAACAGTCTGAAATTGTGCTTCAAGAGGCTAAGCAATATGTGGGCCCAAAGAATTTGAATTTGGCAAATCTCCATTATTTCTAGAGAAGATCACTTTGACTTAATTATAAGCATGAGACTGACTATGTTGCTTTCACAACTCCTCCTCTTTCACACAAGGTTTTAGTGTTTTCTCTTACTCTTATCAGTAGGCTGTTTACACTGCATCTGACTTCCTGTTTTTACCTTTTTGTTAAAATAGCATATCTGTGGCTCTTTCTTAGCTGTGGTAGAAACTGTGTTGAGCAAGTTCCCTCAATGGCCAAGATAATTTGTGTTCCCAGTCAACAGAGAGTAGCAAGATAAGGCAATCTTAAAGCATTTAAAACTCTCAGCCCTACATCTGCTGATGGCATTTGTGAACATGCTTGCTCCTGATAACACTAGAGTTTTCCTAACTCCTGTCCTATATCAGTTTTGGCTGCAGGTTGCCTTGGCACTGGTGTTTTTTAGTCTGCCTCTTGTAAAAGCCTTCCCACCCTTTAGACCACATCTTGTCACAGGCTCTGATTCTTGGGGCAGAGTTTCTCTTGATCAGCTGCTTTGATGAGAAAGTAGCATTCTTACCTTTTTTTTTTGGACTTACTTTCTCTCCAATGTCCTGGGGGCTTTCTAGACTTCCTTCAGCAGTCTGAAAATCAGGAGAAAAAAAAAAACAATAGGCAATTTTTTTTCTCAGTGGTTAGATTATATGAAACTGAAAGCACCGAGAGCAAGAAAAATTGTTAGAAATACTGCCCGTGGCGTGAATACGCCTGATCTCTCAATTAGAGCTTCCTAGTTTGAACTTTGGAAGAGAACTTAGAGAATGAAGACCAGCCACGTCATTTGAAATATAAATTTATTTCACAACTGGAGGCCAGTTGGAGAAGCCTAGAAGGTGGAAGTAATATATTATTTGGGCTTTTAATTTTCTAAAATAATGTGCACACTCACAATTGACCTATTCAGTCTTTTATAAAAGAGGCAGCAAGTGAGGGAAGGGGATGTCTTGTGCACTTGTGGATCCTCAACACCTGACCCAGTCAGTACCTGGCATTTAAGTACACAAGACACTGTCTGGAGGGACTCTGTTTCAGGCCCAATGAAGACAGCTTTACATGAATTAATATACAACACACATATCCTCATGTTTTTATAGAAACTGAGGCACAAAAAAGCCTAATAACTCTCAAGTATCATAACATCGATTTCATTTAAACACAAGCATCTTTGATCCCAAAACTTTTTCTTGAAGTCCCTCGCTATACTGCCTCTATTTGCTGAGTGAATAATTGTAAAATTAACAGCTTTTTTCTTATAGAATATTTACTCGCAGCTTCCATATATTACATGTTAATGCAGCCTTGTCTGCAACCAAGCAAAACATGTGGTATTGTCTCCATCTTACAGTGAAAACATGAAGGCTGGGGAGGTCCTTAATAAGGCTGCCCATGTTTCCTAAGCAAGTCACAGAAGTGGGAGGTGAATTGTCAACTCTAAAATGCTATTTCTCCTTCTCCTCATTGCTTCTGTAAGAAAAAAGAGAAGGGAGGAGGAAGGGACAATCTTACAAGGTTCTCTGCTGATCCTACTGTATTTTGTTTTTTTCTCCACACCCAGAAGCCAGTGGCTGAAATTTGATTGGAAAAAAGTGATTGGAAAAAAAAAGAGATGTTCTCTATTCTTTTCCATTTTTGCCATGATATTTCTAAAAGACTCTAAGTATAACTTTTATGTGCTTTGGGAGTTATAATGTATTTTTTTTCTCAAAACTGTGTCCTTGTCATTGTATTGGCATTAGGGGACAAGGACTGCTTTTCCAGTAACATGTTCACAGACGAAGCCTCAGCATCTAGAACAGAACTTGGCTCAGGAAGGATGCTCATTGCATGTGACCACATATAAAATAAGTCTGAATAAAAGGCTAATCCAACTTTTTTTTTCACCAATTGGAACATACACACTTTTGAAAATGTAGATGCAGTACAATGTCTATGTAAAGCATTTGTTAATTTAGTTATTATACTGTCCTAAAAAAATAAAATTGTGTATGTAATGCTGATACATTGCTTTTCTTGCATTTTATAAAGTAATTTTATTCAAATACTTTGTATCTTTTTTAAATATTTTCATTAGTATTAAATGTATTCATTTCTTTGAAGCAAATTAAAACAATTTAGCTTTTTTTTGAGAATACATCTGGCAATTGTTTAATATCCAACAAATATTGAATCAGTGTGGGATATTTACTAGTCCCTTTTTTTTTGATTCCCTTAATTATATAGCATGAAAATAATTCTCTTTAAAAATATTTCTAAAATTATAAGCTACTATAAAGCCTTTTAAAAACACCTTCAAAGGCCCTGTTAAGAAGTTTTAACAAAAATCCATTATTAATGGGGCAAAGTCGGTCAATGGGTATTAAATCATAGTTTGATAAGAGAGATAAGTTCTGGAGTTTTATTCCACGGGGTTATAGTTTGGATATGAGGTTTCCCCCCAAAGCTCCTGTGTTAATGCTGGATATTCTGAGGTAAAGTGATTGGATTGTGAGAGCTGTAACCTAATCAGTTCATGCTAGTTTAAATGTACTGGGTGGTAATTGTGGGCATTTGAGGCATAGCTGAAGAAAGACGGTCACTGGGGGCATGCCCTAGAAGGGTGTATCTCACTCCCCCACCCCACATTCTGGCTGCCATGAGCTGAGATGGTTTCCTCCATCATGCTTTCCCCCCATGATGTTCTCTCTCATCTTGGGCCCAAAGCAATGGAGTCAGCTGTCTCTAGACGGAAACCTCTGACACCATGAACTAAAATAAATTTTCCCCCTCTAATTTGTTTTTGTCAGGCATTTTGGTCATGATTTTTATGAAGAGCAAGATTCCAGTTTTGCAAATATGTCACCACTTAGTTAGAGGCTGATTAAATTGTGAAGCTAATGAAACTTAGGTTTCAGAATTTCTGTCTCCCTGGAAGAGACCCTACACATGTGTTTCACCTGTTTTTCATAACATTTGCAAAAATAAGTTAGGTTGATTCATTTTCCAGTGTGGCAGTATAGAGTGCTGTAGAACCTCTTCCCAGAAAAAATTACTTGTCCATGTACTATGCATGAACCAAACTGGCATGGAAGCCTTTGGGAGGAAAAGTCTGGTATCTGGGAACTCCCAGCAGCACACTTGCTGGTGAAACTGCCCAAATACAGAGCTACCTAGCTCTTCCAGGTTCTACACAGCAGTGGAGATGGGGTGACTTGCTGGAGCCACATAGCAATACAGCCTCTCAGAGATGGGTGTGGCTTACCAAGATGCCAATCAACCTGTTCAAGACACCATGAAGCAAGACTCCATCTGCTGAAACTTTATCCCTGCCTTTGATATACTCTCTTAAATAAATAATCAGAGCCATTTTCTAGCTGTTCTGTTACAGCTCCTGTATGCACTGGAAGAAACAATCAGGCACCCCATCACTTTCAAAACTATTTCCTGGCTCTGACTCTTTATTCTTCACTAACTACTTTAGATTTTAATTTTCTTAGGTGGCTTATCCCCTCTGAGCAGGAAACAGTTACATTAGTATGGTGATGGCCACCCTGCAAGAATTACTGCAATTATCAAAAATTATTTTTAAAAATTAAAAATTCTAGCACTTGTTTCAAAAGCATACTTCAAACAATGAAATATTTTTTCAAAGGAAATCACCAGAATCTTACTAAGAAAAGCAAGAGCCTATGGTACAGAGATATGATCTGTTCCTTCCCCACCCAGTTTCATTTGACAAAGCTTACCTTGTGGGGTGTGGCCAAAAAGACAGGGCCCCCCTTTCTCTTCAGCAGGTTATTCACTGAAAGGGTCAGGTCATCTACATTCCTCAGCCCCTCTGTGATGTGCTAAATTTTGTCCCCTTCCCCAATAATTCAGATGTTGAAGTCCTGACACCAGAACCTTAAAATGTAACCACATTTGGACATAAGGTCTTTAAAGAGGAATTAAGTTAAAATGAGATTTTAATCCAATATGTCTGGTTTCTTTAAATGAAGATGGAGGAATAACAATTTGAAGGCAGACATGTGAAAACGAAGAAGAGTGGTCTCAGAAGAAGTGAAAGTATGTTACCTTATCTCATGCTTTCTGGTGCCAGAATTGCAAGAAAATAAATCTGTTATTTTAATCCACCCAGCCTGTTATATTTTGTTACAGCAACCCTAGCAAACTAATGCTATCCATCACCAAGGGGCAGACTTATTTATGATGAGTGTGACCAGAGATCAGAGGCTTCCTACCTGCCATCCAGTCACTTCTCATAAATTGGAGGTTCTAGCTCAGGCATGGCAATAAAACAGCATTAAAATTCTAATCATGCCTACCCTGATATATTTGTAAGCTGGAAGCTCTATGCTGGGAGAGGCAGAGGAAACCAGACCTGCCACTCATGTCCAGTGGTGAAGAAATACTTCAGAGATTATGTTCAGGAAGAGAGACATTCCATAAAAACAGAGAGTTTTAAAGCTGTTCCCAGTGGAATGGATTTCATTCTAAATGGAATATGGAGAAATTCAATGCTAAGGGAAATTTCAAAAATAATGGAGATTTTGGTGATAGGTAAATAGAAGGAAGCTGATAACCCATGATTGCAACAAGTTAAACAATAGTTCAACTAGTTTTCCAATGAGAACCAGAGAAGGAGACAGCCTATAAGAGCTCTCATAAAGTCAGAACAGGCTCAAAGACTGGCGTCAAAACTAATCTTGAGCAAATTTAACTAGATTAGATTTACAACAATTTATATTGCAGGCCTTGTAAAAAATTAGAGTTATAAGCCTGCAATTAATGGATCCTACTAG